TTCAATTCCTTTAAAAAATAATAAAACTACAATAATTACAAAAGTCATCATTATTGTTGAATTCGTAAAACCAAACAATCACACTATGTTAAATTGTTCAAAATAAGAAGAACTGTTCATTACCTATTTATTTGGAAAAAAAGATCTTGTTTTTTACTTAAAGATTCTGTTTCTTGAGTTAATACAATCACACCCATCATAGCAACTAATAAAATAAAACTGGCCAAAAGAAATAAACAAAAACAAGAAACATATAAAATCTGCCCTAAGGCCTCAATATTATGATAAGAAATAAGAAATCAAGGAAAAGAAAGGTCTCAATTCTCTATTTGAAAAGAACCCAAAAGTAATCCACTTGAAGCAATTTCTGAAAAAAAAAAAATCCCAATTATAAATCCAATTGGTATATAATTTGTCATATCAACCTCTCTTTTTAAAACAGGAGGGTAGTCAGTTAGATTTAATAACATAATAACAAATAAAAATAAAATAGCTATTGCCCCAACATAAATAAGTAAAAACATCAAAGCAAGAAAATCTATTCCTAGTAAAAGGAAAAAAACGGCAGAATTTATAAAAACAAGAACCAATCAAAAAATAGAAAGAACAGGATTTAACGCTGAAACAACCATTACTCCTGAGCCAATTATCCCCAAAATAAAAAAAAAAGAAAAAAATTCCATTTTAAAATAAATCAAAAATTATTTGAGAAAAAAAAAAAAAAAGAAAATGTGGAGAAAGAAAAAAAAAAAGAATAAAATAAAAACAAAAACCAATTAAAAAAACTTTTTTAAAATTTAATTTAGATTCTTTTTTTAAAACTTTAATTGTAATTAAAAGAAAAGAATTTTTTTGAAAAAAAAGTATTTTTATAATTCGAATATAATAAACCCCAGCTATAACAGAACAAAAAACAGCAAAAAAAAAGATAAAATATGATTTAGAAAGAATTCCAGATAACAAAATAAATCATTTTCCAAAAAAGCCAGCAAAAGGAGGAATTCCTGCAATAGAAAAAAAAAGAACACCTAAAGTAATCGAAAAAAAAGGTAAGTATCGAGAAAGTCCACTAAATTCAACAAGTAAATTTTTATAAACATTAAAACTTAATATAATAGAAAAAGCACAAATTGTCTTCACAATATATATAAAAAGATAAACAAGACTAGCTTGTAAACTTTCAAAAGAACCATTTTCCAAACCTCATAAAATAAAGCCCATATGACCAATCCCACTATAAGCCAAAAGTCGTTTTATTTTAGTTTGATTTAAAGCACCCAAAGCTCCAACAAACAAAGAAAAAAGAATCCCTAAAAAAAAAAAATTTACAGGCAATCCAATTGAAATTATAAGAGAAAAAAACCCTATTTTTGGAACAATAGCCAATAATAGAATAATTTTAGTAGGTCCCCCCTCATAAACATCAGGAACTCACATATGAAAAGGAGCAACTGATAATTTAAAAAAAAGAGCAACAATAATTAAAAGATACCCAATTGGTATCGAAACAGCAGAAAAAATTTGTTTTGAATTAAAAAGAAGTTCTATATGAGAAAAGTGTATATTCGCCCCAATACCACATAATAAAGCACACCCAAATAAAAATAAACCAGAAGAAAGAGCACCCAAAATAAAATATTTTAATCCTGCTTCCACACTATAACCAGACCCTCGAGCAATCAAAATAAAAAAACAAAGAGTAAAAAGCTCAATGGTTAAATAAATAGAAAGTCAATTACTTGAAGAAATTAAACAAAAAACTCCAAAAATAATAATTAAACTTAAAATAGGGACATCTGTTTGTTCTTCTTTTTTTGGTCCAAATAAAAGAAAGACAGCAAAAGAACCAATTAAAACCAAAAGCTTTCCCCATTCTAATTTAAAAAAAAAAAAAAAAAAAAATAATAATAAATAAAAAAGAGAAAGTTTTAAAAGAAAATAACGAAGACTTAAAACCACGAAGCTCAAAAGAAAACCGCCTAAAACAAAAATTTCATTAATTTTTATTTAATAATTGATTTTCAATAATACCCAAAACTGGTATTAAAACTAAAAAATAAAAAAAATAAAAAAAAGAAAGTATTTGACCAATTAAAATAAAAGGTTCTTCTACAACTTGTGATCCAATTCAAGTTAATAAAGCAAAATCAATAATTAAAAACCAAAAGGCAATTCGACCTAAAGGACGAAAAAAAAGTCCCTTTAAAAGACTTTGATGTAAAATAGATAAAAAAAATAAAATAAAAATACTACAAAACATTGCAATAACCCCACCTAATTTATTTGGTATAGAACGTAATATTGCATAAGCAAATAAAAAATATCATTCTGGTTGAATATGAACCGGAGTAACCAAAGAATTCGCTTGAATAAAATTTTCAGCATCTCCTAATAAATTAGGCAAAAAAAAAACAAAAAAACAAAATAAAAAAAAAAGAAAAAAAAAACCAAAAAAATCTTTTGATGTATAAAAAGTATGGAATGAAACTCCGTCAATTGAAGAATTTAATCCTGTTGAATTATTAGACCCATCAACATGTAAATAAACTAAATGAAGAATAACAAGAAAAACTAAAATAAAAGGAAGTAAAAAATGTAAACTAAAAAACCGATTTAATGTTGCATTAGAAACACTAAACCCGCCTCACACTCACTGAACAATATCAATCCCAAAATAAGGAATAGCAGATAATAAATTCGTTATTACAGTTGCCCCTCAAAAAGACATTTGTCCTCAAGGCAAAACATAGCCCATAAAGGCAATAGCCATTGTTAATAAAAAAATAACAACTCCAATGCTTCAAACATGAAATTTTAAATACCCCCCATAATATAAACTTCGACCAATATGAACATAAAGACAAAAAAAAAACAAAGAAGCACCGTTAGCATGAAGATATCTTAATAAAAACCCATAATTAACATCTCGCATAATATGACCAATTGAAGCAAAAGCAAAATTAACATCAGAACAATAGTGCATAGACAAAAAACACCCAGTCACTATCTGTAAAATCAAACACAATCCCAATAAAGATCCAAAATTTCATAAATAAGTAATGTTAGAAGGAGAAACCAAATCAACTAAAAATCCGTTGATTAAAAATAAAATAGGATTTTTTTTTCGTAATGGCACTTGCAAATCTGTTAGTTCTTTTTTTTTTTCATAATAATTAATTAAAATATTTTAAATAGGAGGGGGACCATTAAACCCAAAGAGAACACTAGCCACAAAGATGACCATTCCTAAACTTAAAGGCAAATACCCTTTTCATAACAAAGCCATAAGCTGATCATATCGAATTCGAGGAAATGAAGCCCTTACTCAAATAAAAAAAAAAATAATAAAAACAACTTTAAAACCAAACCAGCCCGCCCCACCCTTAAAATCTGGAATCGGAGAAAGCCATCCTCCCCCAAAAAAAATCGTTGTTAAACAACTCATTAAAATAATATGGGCATATTCAGCAAGAAAAAATAAAGCAAAAGACATCGAAGCATACTCAACATTATATCCCGAAACAAGCTCTGACTCTCCTTCTGTTAAATCAAAAGGAGCACGATTGGTCTCTGCTAAAATCGAAGCAAAAAACATTATTGTAACAGGAAATAGTGGAAAAAAAAACCAAATACCATTATTTTGCGCTAAAACAATTTCAGTAACACTTAAAGAACCAACACATAATAAAACCGAAATAAGAATTAGCCCAATTGAAACCTCATAACTAATCATTTGAGCCGCCGCCCGAATAGCACCCAAAAAAGCATATTTAGACTTACTTCCTCATCCAGACATTAAAATTGCATAAACACTAATAGAAGAAATAGCCAAAATTCATAAAAGACTAATTTTAAAATCACTAATACTCACTCCTTTCTCATAAGGAAGAAAACCTCAAACAAAGAAAGCTAATGTAAAAGATATAACTGGAGCCAAAAGATAAACAAATTTATTTGCTTGATGGGGAAGAATCATTTCTTTAATAAACAATTTCACCCCATCTGCAAAAGGTTGAAGAAGCCCTCCCCCAACAACATTTGGCCCTTTTCTTATTTGCATATACCCTAAAATTTTTCGTTCTGCTAAAGTTAAAAATGCAACAGCAATAAGTAAAGGAATAATAATAATAATAGATTTAATCAAATAAAAAAAAGTAAATCACATAAAGTCTCTTAGACATTAAAATAAATATTTTATTGTCCATTAATAAACAAATATTTTACTAACAAATTGTTTTTTTAATGTATAGTAATTTTTTTAATTAATTTTTTAATTAAAAGGCCCAATAACCTTCCATTGCATCCGGTAACCAAGTATGTAATCCTAATTGAGCAGATTTTCCCATAACCCCAAAAAATAAAAATAAACAAATAAAAAATATTTGATTAGAAAAAAAAATAGAATTAAAAATAGTAGAAAAATCTAGAGATCCAAAAAGATCCCAAAGTAAAAACATTGCTAAAAGCAACCCAATATCACCAATTCTATTCACTAACATTGCTTTAATAGCAGCTCTATTTGCCTCTAATCGAGTTAATCAAAAATTAATTAATAAATAAGAACAAAGACCAACCCCTTCTCACCCAATAAATAATTGAAGAAAATTATCGCTAGTTACCAATAAAACCATTAAAAAAGTAAACAAAGAAAGATATGTCATAAATCGAGGAATATGAGGATCTCCCCGCATATAAGCAATAGAAAAAATATGAACCAAAGTAGAAACAATAAAAACAACAAATAACATAATAACTACTAAACCATCAAATTGAAAACCAAAAAAAACAACAAACAACCCCGAATCAAATCATTTTCATAATTTCAAATACGTTGTTGTTGAATTAAATAAAACTTCAATCGCGATTAAAAAAGAATAAGATAAACTAAAAACTAAACAACTTGAAGTTAAAATCCCCGCTCCTCTTTCTCCGATTTTTCTTCCAAAACAACCTGTTAAAACAGCTCCAATTAAAGGAAAAAATAAAACTAAAAGATACATTAATAAAAACAACAAACAAAAATATTTCTTTTTATTTTTAGAAACAATCCTAATTTAAAGAATAGTTATATTAAGAGAACTATTGATTTTTGATCCTTTCGTACGAAAAAACAACATATTTTTGTTTTCTAATTGTAGATAGAAACCAAGCTGTGTCACCACGCTTTTAACTCAAATCATGTATAACTTTAATGGATGAACAAACCAACCCTTACGAGTGACTACACCGTAGGACGTTACAATTCAACATCGAGGTCGCAAACACTGTCGTTGATTAACTCTCAAACATTATTGCGCTGTTATCCCCAGGGTAACTTTTATTTGTTTTCGTTATTTTTTTCATTCAAAATAACGGATCAAAAAACACACCAAAAATGTCTCATCAATAAAAAAATTTCAAAGTTAAACATGCGTCATAGCTCATTTTCGTTACTTTTTAAAAAACTGTCGCCCCAACAAAACTGTCTTACTTATAAAAAAAAAAAAATTATATATATAAGCTTACAGTAAAGCTCCATGGGGACTTCTCGTCTAACAATTAAAATGTAGCATCTTCACTACAGATTTAATTTCATTGAATATTTTTTTAAGACAGAAAAACTTTCGGGATACCATTCATACCGGTCAACAATTAATTGACAATTGATTACGCTACATTATCACAGTCAGTGTTACCGCGGCCATTTAATTGTCTTTATTAGTAAGCGGAACAAACATATTAAGATTCAACCATCGGGCAGGTTTCACCTTTTATAAAAATCAAAAAGCTATGTTTTTGGTAAACAGTCGAAGTTTAACTTTGCCGAGTTCCTTAAAAAAATGTTTTTCTTTTTTTTTTTCTTTCTTTAATTAGAAAAACAGTTCTTTTTTTTTTCTTTTCCCGATATTATATATTTTTATAAAAAATCTTCATAAAAAATTTCTTTTTTAGAAACTGTATTACCCTTGACTAAGGTAATCTTAAGAAAAAAAAATAATATTTAGATTACTTATGTAAAAATTATTACAACTGAACACGATGTATTAAGAAAAAAAATTTCAAACTAGGGAGATATCGAAAACAATTTATTCTGCTACGAAATATATAATTATTTTCAGAGCTTCTGTTTTATTTTAACCATCAAAATTATAAAAAAACTTAAAATTTTTAAATAAACAACTACGTACTTTTTAAAAGATGGCTGGTTCCAAGCCTACATTTTTATTGTCTAAATTTAATTTTTTTTTAAACTAAAAAAAAAAAAATGACAATAGCTTCTGATTTGAGCTTTCTCTTTTAACAAAAAATCTTTTCATTTATTGTTTGTTTACTTTTTTTTTATTTTTGTTTTTTTTAAAATGACAATTAAAATAAAAAAAAAAAGAACACTACTTAAATAGTTTTCGCAGAAAACCAGCTATTTCCAAGTTCGATTAGCCTTTCACCCCTAATCACAAATTTTCTGAGATTTTTGCCACAATCACCAGTTTTTGCTCACACAATTCATGATTAAATCACTTGGTTTCGGGAAATTTGACTAAAAAAAAATTACTTAAAATTTTCCATTTTAAATATGCCAAATAAATCTCTTTTACCCATTATACAAAAGGTACGCTTTTTTAAAGCTACTTCAAAAATAAAAGATTCAAATTCCTTTCAACTCTCTTTCAACTTTCCTTTACAGTACTTTCATTATCAGTATAAACTAATGTTTAAGCAAGATCTATGACCACCACAAGCACAACTCCAATTTCACTCTCCACTACTCTCGGAATCTCGTTTGATTTTTACTTAGTAATAAGATGTTTCAATTCAAATAAAAAAAAATCACTTTTCTGAAGAAACAACCAATAAGCAACTGAACGCCATTTCGAAAAAAATCGTCTAATTTTAGTTTATCTTAGTTATCCTCTTTTTTTTTTATAATTTTTATTTTGTGTAAGAGAGAGATTCGAACTCACTTGGTTGGGGCATGAACCCAATGACTAACCCTTTGTCTTTCTTACA